CATTGCTTCAGCACCTCACTGAAGCCCTCGCACAGCTTGAGGTCAGTCTGGTTCTGGGCACACTCCAGGAATTGCTTCATTTCATACTGGCAAGGAGCAAACTGCTGCTGCTGCTGCTGGTAGGCAGGCTGGGCTGCCTGCGGCTCCTGAAACAGCAGACACCCCCATAAGCACCCTTCAACAGCTCCAGCCTGTGAGGCCAAACCACCCTGGTGCTGCTGGGTGTTTCTTCCCTGCATTTCAGTCAAAATGCTGTGTTGTCTTTTAAATGGAAAACAGACAATGGGCTGAAGGACAAAATAGGCTTCCAGCCGTGGCCTGGCACATTCTGAACAGTTTTCTACATTACAAACACTTGGGTAACATCATTATCTTAATGTCTGAGCAGCACAGGATGATCTCACATTAGATCTTGCCATCATAAGATCTGGTACATGGAAGTCCTGCCTGAATCAGAACACTACGGTAGAAAACAACTCTAATACCCTATGTGATCACCCCTGCATCCCTTTGAGCTAGTTTTAGGACATGGTGATTGTGGTAACCACCTTGGAGAGTCGAGTATCCATGACAAGATATGACTTGTGTAGGCTTTATGTCTACAGCAATTACCTGAGCCTGTATGTAACTGCTTTGCCAAGTTACCTGCACCTCATTAGCAGGTGTTCAGTTGTGCTTTCTCTTACCTGATAGGTAATATCAGGCCTTGCAGCTTCAGAGCTGCTTCCTCCACCAAATCCTCCTGTCAGCGCGTGGCCTATGGTATGGCCCACAGCAGAGCCCACGGCCACTCCAGCAGCAGTTGTAGCCATCTGTGCCATCAGACCAGGCTGCTTCGGCGCGGGAGCAGCCACAGCAGAAGCCGGAGCCGCCGCTGGGACAGGCGCCTGTGCCGGAGCTGGAGCTCTCATTTGTGGCGCCCGACTGCAAGGACATGAAGAGAAGGCTCAGGTCACGGTTCCAAACACACCGGGCAGAGGCACAAGCTCCTCCTCATCACACCCTGCACACTGACGGCAAGAACTCAGTGTCCTGGCGAGTGATTTATGCACATCAAGGTCAGGCTTTCGAGCTTCTTTTTGCCTGTTTTAAAGGCCACCAGCACCCCCTCGCCCAAAGCACTGCGCTGTTCTGCGGTTAACGAGATACAACCCGAAAGGAGCTGATTAAATCGGGCCTTAACGCCCAGGCCCTGCGCCGAGCGACGGCTGAGGAGCTCCACATCCATCCCCGTGCCCCGCTAACCGAGCCCACAGCACCCGGGCCCCGCTCAACCCGCAATGGCGGAGACGCCCTCGCCACCCGCGGCCTACACTGAGAGGCGAGTGAGGAGAGGAGGAAATGGGCCCAGCGGCCCTCACCTGGCGGGGGGAGCCACGCGGGACGTGCGGCTGCGGCCGCCCCTCGGCATCGCGGCGGTGTGGAGAGAGCTGAGGCGAGGAACGGAGCGCGGAGGAGAAGAGCGGATCCGGACAGCGTCCAACCGCTGCTGAAGGTCACACGGCACTGCCCGTGCGTGCTCACGTCGCGCCGCAAACGCCGTGCGTGGAGGCGGGGCTTGCGCAGAAAACGCCCCCTTCCCGGGCGGGTTAGTGGGAAACGGCGGAGGGGGGAGCAATGGCGGAGCTTTGGGTTGTGGAGGTTAACGGTTAAACGGTGTCTAAACGGTGTCTAAACGGTTTCTGAACGGTTAAACGGTGTCTAAACGGTGTCTAAACGGTGTCTAAACGGTTTCTGAACGGTTAAACGGTGTCTAAACGGTTTCTGAACGGTTAAACGGTGTTTAAACGGTTTCTAAACGGTTAAACGGTGTCTAAACGGTTTCTGAACGGTTAAACGGTGTCTGAACGGTTTCTGAAAGGTTAAACGGTGTTTAAACGGTTTCTAAACGGTTAAACGGTGTCTAAACGGTTTCTGAACGGTTTCTGAACGGTTAAACGGTTTCCGAGCGTTTAAACGGTTTCTGAACGGTTTCTGAACGGTTAAACGGTGTCTAAACTGTTTCTGAACGCTTAAACGGTGTCTGAACTGTTTCTAAATGGTTAAACGGTGTCTAAGCGTGCGCCTATGGAGGATCGGTCCCTATGGAGAAACCCGGGGAACACCGGGAAAGAGCTCATAGAGACACAAGTCAGCGCTTCCACAGTGTAGTCATGGAATTACATCCCGAGCTGTTACACTGAGGTAAACAGTGCACTTCCTTAAATGGAGTTCTCTAGACAAAACACAATGGGGTTTGGAGATTTAGAGAGGAATGGGTTATTTAATAAGGGTAAGGGGAAAATGCAGGTTATGCCATATAACTTGGAATATAATCAAGTTATATTCCAGGCAGAGTGCATTGCTTCAATCCAGAGGTAAAATTGATCTGAACAGCTGCTTATTCAGTTAATAATGGCACACAAGTTTGGGTTTTCATGATGTAAACCTCATTGAAAGCATCTAATATACACAGGATTAGACCCAATTAGTTAATAATCTCTCCAATTAGTTAATAATCTCGCCAATTAGTTAATAACCTCACCAATTAGGCTCAATAGATTGGAACTGAATGATCATAAAGTCCTTTCCAACCCAAAGCATTCTGTGATTCTAGGACATTGAACCAGTCTGTTTCCCATTATAAGCAAGCATTTTGCTTCTTGTCCTGGGAGCACATACACACACGTTCATCCACAAAATGACACTCTAATGTTGTCACTTGGTTATAAAGCCGTTACTGTGGTAAAACATCTCTTGTTCACCATTTCTTCAGTTGTAAGGGAGTTGTGCAAGACCAGGCATTTCAACCTCATTCAACAGGCAGTAGTTACATCCCCTGACATGAATGAAGCATTAATACTGTGAGTTTATATAGCAATGGCAGTCTGCAAGCACAGAAAAGCCAAAATTATTAGGAGATAAATATAAATGATCCGTCATGCTCAGAACAGCGGCATCCACCAGTTCCAGCTGCTGGTGCCAATGCGGGAGCTCATCTCTGCATGCATCCCTTCTCTGGTTCTTTCACTTTTGGGCTCTCTCCATCCTGCCTGCTCCCTGGGCAGCTCTGTCTTTGGGGTTTGGTCAGATGCCCTGAGGCTCTGTGAGCTTTGCACTCCAGTCATTAATTCACTTCAGACCTGGCACTTCCTCAGAGCAACGCTTCCATGGTGTCCGGTTGGTGTCCAGAAAGGAGAATGTGGTGAATGCTCCATCCCTGGCAGTGTTCAGGGCCAGGCTGGACAGAGCCTTGGGCTGACATGGTCTAGGGTGAGGCATCCCTGCCCATGGCATGAGGATTGGAGTTCTGTGATCTTAAGGCCCTTTCCAACTCCAACTCTTCTGTGATTCTATGCCTAAACCTCATCTTATTTAAGGCCCAAGCCACAAACATCTGAGATCGGGTGATTGGTTTCCCTGTTGCTTTAGTGCATCTCTTGCTTGCCCCCTTCTATCTTGATTATCTCTGCTCCTTCCCGTTGTCCCCTCCCTGGCTTGTACGGATAGCAGCACACAGGGTAGAGAGCAGGTTTTTATTGTAGTTTATGCATCAGCTAGAGTTCAACCAACTTATTTCTTTATGAGTGGTTTTCTCAACTCCTTTTTATTAATATTCAGAATATTTTTAATATTTATCAGTATTTATTAATTTATTAAGTTAAATTTTTATTTTAATTCATTTTAAATTAAATTTTAATTTAATTTCATTTAATTTTAATTATTTTACCTTACTAACATTTATTAGTATTTATTAATATTTATTAATATTAATGCTAGCATTTATTAATATTTATAATTATTAACTCCTTTTAATGAATCGTTTTCATTTTCCCTTTGCTGGCAGAGGGATTCTTGTGGCTTGAAGTGATTTTGCAGCTGTCTCTCTCTGAATGGGTTTTGTTTGGGAGAACAATGCATGCAGGGGTGGCGTGAGGGGCAGTGTGAATGCTGCCATTGTGTTTCCTCCTCTTGCCTTGGGAAAAGGAGCAGAACTTCGGTCTGAACTTGCTCTGGGATCTGCTGATGCCCATCAATACAATGGAAACAGGGAAGGGATGGAGAGCAAGGAGCCACCCCGAAGTAAAACCAGAACAGTGGTGATGGGGGGTCAGAGCAAGCAAAGATACGTTTCCATCCACTTTTGTGTTGGTAGACCAGGGCTGGTTCTTAAACTACAGGCAGATGGGTGTTGATGCTAGTGCTGATAGAGAGGTATAAAGGAAAGAGGATCCAGCCTGATTGCTGTTGGTTGTATCCATCTTATTCCAAGCAGCACTATTGGCTCATGGGTCTGCTGGCTGTATTTAGAGGTGGGATACCTCGGTGATGATAGGTCTGAGAAACAGATGATGAAATCTGTTTGCTCAGCGATGGAGCATATTCTTCCAAAGACAAGGCTTGGGAGGATCCATTGGCAGCTGCTCCAGAGCCAGGCAGAGCACGAGGCTGTGGTGTGTGCTCAGGAAACCAAACCTCATGTCCTTTGGATGCTTCTTGCCCAAATTCCATGTCCCAGGAAGCATCCTGGTAAACTCTGGGACCATAACAGGCCCTCAGCAAGGTGCCTCTGCACTGGGGGCACCAGATGGGCATTGTCTGTCTGCAGGCTGTGAGGTTTGGCTTATTCTCTCTAGAGTCATGGCCAAACCCTGTGGCTCAGAGGCCGACCCCGCCTTGCTTAGAGGGAATGGGACATCACCCCCTCAGCCGTGCGGGGTCTGCACTGCCCGGAACAGCCCAGACCTAAGGGAAATGGGTGGAAAACCTCATTTTCCTGCTCAAATGGGAATGGGAGGGGGGAGCCGCCAGGGCGCCCTGCAGTGGTGCCTGACGGCCGCCAGGCGGCGCCACACCCGCCCGCTGCCCCACACCCCCCATCCCCCGCCCCCGGGCCTGACGTGACGTCATCGCGGAGCGCCACGCCCGGCGCGGTCGAGTGGGGCGGTGCGAGAGGGGCGCGCCCGCCCATTTGAGCCAATCCGGTGCGTGCGCGCGTGTGCGGTTGGCCGGCGCGGGTCGCGCGTCGCGGGCTGAGGCGGAGGGAAGGGGAAAGATGGCGGCGCCCGTCCTGCTGCGAGTGTCGGTGCCGCGCTGGGAGCGGGTGGCCCGCTCCGCGGTGTGCGCGGCCGGCATCCTGCTCTCCCTGTACGCCTGCCACCTGGAGCGGGAGAAGGGCCACGACATCCACTACCAGGCCCTGTGCGACTTCAGCGAGCGGGTCCGCTGCTCCGCCGCCATCACCTCCAGGTGAGGCGGGGATGGGACCCATCGCCGCCTCATGCTGCCCCAAGGGGAAGGGGCTGGGAGCGGCGGGGCCGGGCCCCGGAGCGCTGCCTCCGGTACCCTGCGGGCTAAGGCGGGGGTGGGGGTGTTGGGAGGCCGGGTCGGCTCTGTGAGGGGGGTTCGAGCGGCCGGCAGGAGCCGGCGGCTGCGGGCCGGGACCCGTCATTGGAAGCGCTTCCTTGGGGCGCTGAAGGGGCGGGCGGCTGGGCCTGTGCTGGGGACCGCAGGACGGGCAGGCTGAGGAGGAGGGGGTCGGGGCTCTGTGTTCAGGCAGCCCCATCGCTGGAGGGCTGGTGTGGGAGCGGCGATTTGTCGGGATCCCCGCAGGCCGGAGGGTGAGGCACTCGCAATTTGCGTGTTGTAATCACCGGTAATTAGCTGGAGTGACAGGCGGCTTGGTGGTGAGCGTGTGTTCCAGTGAAGTGCTGCAGGTGTGGCTGGCGGTTAAGGCCAACATAAACACGTACGGTTGTCGATGGTTGGGTTTGCGTTGCTTTAATTGAACGGGGTTTTCATGAGAGTGTCACCTGGCAGCACAGAAGATTGTCTGTGTGATAGAGAGGAAGTGTTAATTGAAGAGACATTTGTAGAGCTGCAGAAGGCCAGTCCAAACCCCGTTTTATTTGACAGGCTTCCTGTCAATAATTACTTTAGCACTTGCTTTCTAAAGGCCAGTAACTCTTATTTCTATTAGGAGTCAATGATAAGTTCTAATGTGCTGGTGGCTTGGCCTGTTGTCAAGTCACTAGTTGAATGAATTGCAGTAATGAAAAGACTTAACCTGCTCTGTAGTTACAAGTGCTACCAGGGTGAACATAGTACAGGAAATACTTTCAGATGTAATTTGGCCAAGAAACTCTCCTAACAGCATATTCTGAAGTATTTCAACTAAAGAAGAAAGATGAGTTGCTTAGCAATATCGAAGCTGCTCTGTGCATATATGTGTCTCTGTGTGTATATATATATATGGGCATATAAAGACATACACAAAGGCAGCTACAAGTAAAGAGCTGGGAAAGGGAGGGATTTGGTTCTTCAACAAATGCTTCATTTCTTTAATTAGAATTTAGTTATTATCATGTTTAATGCTTTCAGCTGAATGAGTGCTTGAGATACTTCCCCCTTGGCCCCCCTCAGTGTAACATGCATCAAATCTGTCACTGCTTTTATAGAGGTACTTGCTGTATCATCATAACAAGGCAGCGAGGGAGGACATGCCCCTTGTCCGTCAAGGTGGCGGCCAGTTAAATTGTATAGGCAAAACATACAGGGTACTCTTATTAAAACCATTTCTGTGGTGGCAGAAGTGGGATTGTGTTATGCTACAAAGAGATGTGTGTGTCTGGATGCCTGAAATGATTGAATAAGGGCCTTAACTCTGCTTTTCTATCTGCCATCAGGTAATCAGTTTGTGAAGGTGCTTATTCATGTCTCTATATGAGAAGTGATGAATGAATGAATGGATATGAGAAGTGCCCTGAAATGAGAAGTTTCAGTCTAAACAGGAAGAAGACTTCAGTTAGCTTGCCAGATAACTTAAAAGTTAAAATTGAGCATAGATTACTGAGATTAAACCAAGTGAGTGCCATCAGTAATTTGTAAATGAGTAAATTTTACCATAGCTATCAAGGTAAAAAGAGATCAACAGGGATTTAAGCACCTAAGTAGTCTCTATAGTTGCCTGTTTTTGTGTAGAGTTGTTTCTTCATTAGCTTTGTATTGTTATTGTAATGATACTATTGAGATAGGGAATTTGAAGTAATAGTTTTAATAGATGTTTACTAAATGCTTTGAAGAAGTGAAACAATTCCAATTATATCTTTAGATTTTTAATTATGGAATGCTGCTTGGTAATTGTAGTGTTCATTAGTAACACTGCAGCTGAAATGTTGAGTATGGCATGGGAAGACCTGTAAAAACTTTACTGTAGGAATTCTGTGTAATAATACAAACAGTGAGGGATAAAGTCAGCTAAAACTTCACTAGCAGTTGCTAGGAGAGTCATGCTTGAAGACTGAAGTATTGCAGCTCGTGATAACTAGAGCAAGTGGGAAAAGGACTGTGTGGAAAAGGAGCGTGCAAGTTCTGTTCAGTCAAACCTTATTTGGAGAAGAACGTGCTCTCAGTGCTGTACAGGGCAGCCAGAAAAGGATTATTGCTGTAAAAGTAAGTCAAGGGGGCAAGCTATGAAACTTTCAAGGAAGAATAACACTGAAAGAAATGAATCTTATTTTCTGTGTTGCCACAGCTCCACATCCATCAGTCATTCTGTCTCCAGTAGAGTATTCCTGGTTACCACATCACCAGAGTTTCTCTGAAACTCGATTACTGACAGGAACTTGTAACTACAGTGTAGATTTCACCAGGACAGTAGAGTTGCAAATACTGTGTTCCAGCATTTTCACATGTAATGCAGATTTAACTTTCGTCTGTTTCTTTTCTCATTAAACTATTACCCTGGCAGTCAGAAATCAGTTGGGTTTTGATTGGCAGGGTTACCTACAGAGTTAAATGGGTGACAGACTTGTGCTTTGTGGCTTTTACCAGGCTTCTAGAGCATTCATCTGGTTGTGTGACTTTTTAAGCTAGATTTGGTGATGGAACTTGTAATATAACAGTCTTCACATTTTGAGTGTTGCCTCCAACAGCGGAACTTTAAAAAGCACCTCATGGTGTTGGAGCTAATTTTAACTGTATAGAATAATTAGGATAAATTAGTGTACTCCTGCCTGAGCTGAGTTACTTCAGAATCAAGTTCTGGCCTTTAGGAAGGGCGCTTTTTTTCCCCACTAATAAACTGTTAACATTTCCAAGTCTTGCTTTTGAGCCAAATCTGGTATTGGCACAACAACAAGAACAGAAATGTTGTAAAGATTACCAGCATGCAAAGGGAGGAACATAGAAAAATCTTGTAGGAGAGTCTGACTCATCCAGAAGATTGTGTTGGAGAGATACCTCCCTAGTATTCCTTATTCAAAATACTCATGGTCAGCATATTTCAAGCTGTTATCATGGAGAAAGTTCGTGAAATAGTTTAAAACCAGCTAAGGCCTGTATATAAGGGAAGATACGAGGGAAACACCTAGTATCCTCATTTGGTAGTTTTGTAGATGATTTAAGTGAGTTGCTGTCTCATAATTGAGAATTATGAAGTGGCACGAATGGCTTTATTTGTAATGAAACTGGCTGACAGCAGTTCATGACATACCCTTGGTCTCATTGTTAACAATAGTTTCACAGAGGGAATTAAGCTAATAGACAAGTTTCAAGTAATGTGGATGGAAGTATAGCTTGAAAGAAAATGTGGCAATCGAGAGTAACAGAGAGAGCCAGAGCTAAGGAGGCTTTTAGGCCTTCTGCTATGTTTCTACTTTCTGTCTTGATTTATTTCAGGTTCCTGCAGAGCACTTTAGTGAATGGCTCTGTTTGAAGCAAGTTTTGTAGCCTGGCATGTGTTAATGCTGTAACAGCTTCAATGCAGACTGAAGACAAATGGCTTGAATGAGCAAAGGGCACATGTCACTGTATATCTTTGGCAATACTGGGAACTGTGTAAGGGGAGAGGTTTGGAAATGGTCAGTATTGCTCTAGGTTAGCATCTTTAGCTGACTTACTGAAGGAGTTCCGGAGTCTGTTAAGGTTCTGTGTTCATCTGGGTATAATATGGTAGATGACGTATTTTAGGGGTTCCTTCTTCTGAACTTTATGCTAATGTGCAGGATCTTAGATTGCCATCGTGCACTTGAGCCACTCTGAAATGCCTGTTCTGAAAGTCTGATGTGCGTGTCTGCATTATGTCTTCCAGTGGGTGCACCAACATAATCATCTGGTGCTTCTTGAAGATGTCTATCTGTAACATTTTGCATGCATTGTGGACTGATAGGTGCAGACATGCACTTGTTCTGCTGGATTTGCCATGCGTAGCCTGTGTCAACTGTAGTATTGTATTGTTCTGCTCACCTTCATCAATCACTTCAAGCAGTGAATTTAGACCTTAGTGTAAATGATCTATTTGAACTGCTTGTCCTTGCAAGACAGTACTTCAGTGCTACGTTGTGTGAGTAGCTGATGTAGAGATCACTTCTCTGCAGAGTGGGCATGGAATATATGATGTTTATATCCACTTCAGTTCTGTTGTGGGGCAGTTCCTATAACCTTTGTCTTGTAAAATTTGCTTGATTCCAGGTTAAGAACAGTATTTAGTGGTTATCTTTCATATTAATGGTAAGTTCCTGATGTCCCAGCATACTTTTTATTGCTGTACCGGCAAGCCAGCATTGAGATTCATTTGAGGTTGACAGCTACAATTGTTAGTGACTGATACAAGGTGAGAAAAGGTAGAAGTAGCATTATGCAAGAAGTGGGAAAAGCATGTGTAGTTGCTTTTTGTGAACCAGTGTGCACAAATGAGACCTGTGTGCTTTTTAAGCTTCCCTGGTTTTGCAAGTCTCTGCTCTCTTTTGGTCAGCAATGTCTTTAACCTGAGCCAGATTGTTATTATTGGGCATCTTCCATTAGGAAAAGGTGGAAGTTTGGTTAAACTGCTGAAGGGCAGCATGTGGAGCAGCTGGTGTTACATTCAACAGGAATCATCTTTGTGGTTCTTAGGCTACTGAAATAGTTGACATGAAAATGTTGCCTCCTGAGACTCAGCTATAATCTGTCCTGTCATATAAAATGAGGATTGCAATGGTTAGAGAGCAGCTGTAATGATGCTGCTTCAGTTACTCCGTAGCAAGGATTCATAGGTTGTGCTGTCTGAGGGAAGGTTTGAAGATCTCTAGCTTGTTGCTTGGGCAGAGGGAAATCAGTGTAGGCAGAATCCATCTAGTATGTCAGGCCTTTGTTTCAGCAGCATTTGGAATGCTGCAGGTTCAGGGTGATGGTGAGCTGGTATAGCTGTAGCTACATGAGTGTGATACAATTTTACAGCTAAGGATGATGAGCCAAATAGGGCAAACAAC